TATTTTCTACCATTTGTTTTCAGTCGCAATAAGAGCATAGTCGAAGAAGCAAAGTAAGCAAGAAGATGACAGTCCGTATTTATAAAGCTGTCTATATTTTGAAACATCGAAATGTGTCAACAAGAGAGAGTCGTATCATCTTTAGTTTTCGAAATAGACTTGATAAATTTGCAAAAATATAAATGACATTACGTAATAAAGATTGATATTAATTTCTATAGTTTTTCATATACATATTTTTCATTTCTTTAAAGATACATCTTATACAGGACAGAATTGAGTTCTATCATTCGAGTTTTCTTGTTATTTCTTTCTTCTTAAACATTAAAAAGACGATTCTTTTGAAAATGTTTTGCATCGCAAAAAGATATAACGTAGTATATAATACAAAGCTGTCTATGTATCATTATTTAAGGTCCCAAATGTGTTAACATGGGTAATCTTTTAGCCTTTACAAAACTATGTAAAAATACCGACGTCATTACGTAACGCACGAAACTTGGCATTAAATTCTACCATTTTTCGTATATATTTCTTTTTTTAAACTAAAAAGTACTTTTTAGAGCAATATGTAGCACAAAACACTTTATGACACAAAATAAAGAAATACGTCATGTTGTAAAACAGTAAAAAATATAAAAATTTGATATTTCCTGAAGTTTCAGAAAGCATACTCTTTCAACTTTTTGATGGCATTTTTCGGCAACATTATTCGCCACGGAATAAAGGAGGATATGTCAGATTATGAAACAGTCAGTGTTAATAATTTTTAAATCATTGTCAGAATTTACCGCAACTGACATCCGCTACTATTTCTCAAAAAATTCTTCTTCTTTACAAAGAATACAAATTCTTTTAAAATCACTTTTTAGCTTTTTAAAAATAATGGACTAGAAATATTTCAAAACAATATTCCGCGATGCGATAATGCTGCTATAAATATATTTTTCATAAAAAAATTATTTTTCGGAGATGATATTCATATGAGACACATCATTCTCTGTTACAAAATAAAGAGATATTTTCTTGGTATAAGTTTAATGAAAAATTTAATTATAAATTATTTTATAACAGAAAATGTTTCAGTAAATTGTTCTCATTTAAATATAAATAAATATTTTATTGTTCAATTAATGTAAAATTGCTTTTATTTCTTTTAACGTAATTTTAATTCTGTCAGCTTAATCGCTGAATATACGTCTTATAAGTTAGCGGAACAGAATGAGCAGAATCAATTCTAATTAATATTTTTATTTGTTGCTCATTTGTTGCTAAAAAGTTGCCAAAGAAAAAAATTTGTTGCTCTGTAAGTTTTAAAAAAAAATGATGTTCCGCTAAAGGAAGATTAAGTTAGCGGAACAATATATATATAGCAACAAAATTGTACATAACAATAATATAAGAATTTGTTGCTAATTTGTTGCTCTCGAAATATGCAAGTTCCGAATTTGTTGCTTGCAAAATAAGAATAAATAATGCCGGAAAGCCGCACAGCGTGCAAACTTACAAGAGTAAACCATCAGAAAAAAATTTGTTGCTCGCTTAAATCTGGTACTGATATATGGTCTGAATTTGTTGCTCTCGAAATATACAACTTCCGAATTTGTTGCTTGCAAAATAAGTATAAATAATGCCGGAAAGCCGCACAGCGTGCAAACTTACAAGAGTAAACCAACAGAAAAAAATGTGTTGCTCGCTTAAATTTGATACTGACGTATTGTCTGAATTTGTTGCTCTCGAAATATGCAAGTTCCAAATTTGTTGCTTGCAAAATAAGTATAAATAATGCCAGAAAGCCACATAGCGTGCAAACTTACAAGAGTAAACCAACAGAAAAAAATGTGTTGCTCGCTTAAATTTGATACTGACGTATTGTCCGAATTTGTTGCTCCCAAAATATACAAGTTCCGAATTTGTTGCTCGCAAAATAAGTTTGAATAATATCGGATAACATGCAAAGTTATCAGAGATTAGCGGTATTCTCCTAAAGTAAAACAAAAAAAATTATGTCTATGGAATACAAAATTCTTAGAATTTGTTTTATTCAATTCTATAATTTATTTAAAACATATATTAATAATTGAATAAATTCAGACATATCAGTACCAAATTTAAGCGAGCAACAAACTTTTTTCTGTTGGTTCACTTTTGTAAGTTTGCACGCTGTGTGGCTTTCCGGCATTATTTATATTTATTTCGCAAGCAACAAATTCGGAACTTGCATATTTCGAGAGCAACAAATTCAGACAATACGTCAGTACCAAATTTAAGCGAGCAACAAACTTTTTTCTGTTGGTTCACTTTTGTAAGTTTGCACGCTGTGTGGCTTTCCGGCATTATTTATATTTATTTCGCAAGCAACAAATTCGGAACTTGCATATTTCGAGAGCAACAAATTCAGACAATACGTCAGTAGCAACAAATTTTTTTCTGGTGGTTTACTCTTGTAAGTTTGCACGCTATGTGGCTTTCTGGCATTATTTATACTTATTTTGCAAGCAACAAATTCGGAAGTTGTATATTTCGAGAGCAACAAATTCAGACAATACGTTAGTATCAAATTTAAGCGAGCAACAAATTTTTTTCTGATTGTTTACTCTTGTAAGTTTGCACGCTGTGCGGCTTTCCGGCATTATTTATTCTTATTTTGCAAGCAACAAATTCGGAAGTTGTATATTTCGAGAGCAACAAATTCAGACAATACGTTAGTATCAAATTTAAGCGAGCAACAAATTTTTTTCTGATTGTTTACTCTTGTAAGTTTGCACGCTGTGCGGCTTTCCGGCATTATTTATTCTTATTTTGCAAGCAACAAATTCGGAAGTTGTATATTTCGAGAGCAACAAATTCAGACAATACGTCAGTATCAAATTTAAGCTAGCAACAAATTTTTTTCTGGTGGTTTACTCTTGTAAGTTTGCACGCTGTGCGGCTTTCCGGCATTATTTATTCTTATTTTGCAAGCAACAAATTCGGAAGTTGTATATTTCGAGAGCAACAAATTCAGACAATACGTCAGTATCAAATTTAAGCTAGCAACAAATTTTTTTCTGGTGGTTTACTCTTGTAAGTTTGCACGCTATGTGGCTTTCTGGCATTATTTATACTTATTTTGCAAGCAACAAATTCGGAAGTTGTATATTTCGAGAGCAACAAATTCAGACAATACGTTAGTATCAAATTTAAGCGAGCAACAAATTTTTTTCTGATTGTTTACTCTTGTAAGTTTGCACGCTGTGCGGCTTTCCGGCATTATTTATTCTTATTTTGCAAGCAACAAATTCGGAAGTTGCATATTTTGAGAGCAACAAATTCAGCCAATACGTCAGCACTAAATTTAAGCGAGCAACAAATTTTTTTCTGATTGTTTACTCTTGTAAGTTTGCACGCTGTGCGGCTTTCCGGCATTATTTATTCTTATTTTGCAAGCAACAAATTCGGAAGTTGCATATTTCGAGAGCAACAAATTCAGACAATACGTCAGTATCAAATTTAAGCTAGCAACAAATTTTTTTCTGGTGGTTTACTCTTGTAAGTTTGCACGCTGTGCGGCTTTCCGGCATTATTTATTCTTATTTTGCAAGCAACAAATTCGGAACTTGCATATTTCGAGAGCAACAAATTCAGACAATACGTCAGTATCAAATTTAAGCTAGCAACAAATTTTTTTCTGGTGGTTTACTCTTGTAAGTTTGCACGCTGTGCGGCTTTTCGGCATTATTTATACTTATTTTGCAAGCAACAAATTAGGAACTTGCATATTTGGAGAGCAACAAATTCAGCCAATACGTCAGCACTAAATTTAAGCGAGCAACAAATTTTTTTCTGATGGTTTACTCTTGTAAGTTTGCACGCTGTGCGGCTTTCCGGCATTATTTATTCTTATTTTGCAAGCAACAAATTCGGAACTTGCATATTTCGAGAGCAACAAATTCAGACAATACGTCAGTATCAAATTTAAGCTAGCAACAAATTTTTTTCTGGTGGTTTACTCTTGTAAGTTTGCACGCTGTGCGGCTTTCCGGCATTATTTATTCTTATTTTGCAAGCAACAAATTCGGAACTTGCATATTTCGAGAGCAACAAATTCAGACAATACGTCAGTATCAAATTTAAGCTAGCAACAAATTTTTTTCTGGTGGTTTACTCTTGTAAGTTTGCACGCTGTGCGGCTTTCCGGCATTATTTATACTTATTTTGCAAGCAACAAATTAGGAACTTGCATATTTGGAGAGCAACAAATTCAGCCAATACGTCAGCACTAAATTTAAGCGAGCAACAAATTTTTTTCTGATGGTTTACTCTTGTAAGTTTGCACGCTGTGCGGCTTTCCGGCATTATTTATACTTATTTCGTAAGCAACAAATTCGGAACTTGCATATTTCGAGAGCAACAAATTAGCAACAAATTCTTATATTATTGTTATGTACAATTTTGTTGCTATATATATATATTGTTCCGCTAACTTAATCTTCCTTTAGCGGAACATCATTTTTTTTTAAAACTTACAGAGCAACAAATTTTTTTTTTTGGCAACTTTTTAGCAACAAATGAGCAACAAATAAAAATATTAATTAGAATTGATTCTGCTCATTTTGTTCCGCTAACTTATAAGACGTGCTGAATATTGAATAATAACAGTTGGAATAAAAGGTGCAACACGTAACGGACTGAAACTTTCTTAAAGAAGAATTCAGTCATCAAAGTCCGTTAGTCAAGTTCCCGTTAATGATGGCATCGTCATAAAAAAGCCGCTTTTCAACTTGTCAATAACGATATTCCTCAATGATACTCAGCACATCGCGAGAAAAACGCGTGTCGTTGTATAAGTCGGTAAATAATGACCGCGACGACGCGCAGAAGGAAATAATATCTGCAACGATCAGACTCGCGCTCTTGTAAAACGGGACTTGTTCTCAACCGGTGGATGCCATTGGCATCCATCGTACAGAGTTGTCAAATCGACGGGATTCGATCGCTATTACGTGTCTGTCACATACCTGGACTGGTCTGCCAAGACAGGCCGCCGATGAACATTTTCCTAGAAAAGAAAGACGATTCCATCAGGCTCGCCGTCCGGTCGCGGGTCATCGGCGGAAGAGGAAGCGGACGCGGGGAGACTGCCAGCAGAGGGTAACTTCCGGTACTACTTTGCGACCCCCTGCGCAGTCTCCCGCCCTTGGCAGCAGGTGTCACCACACATCAACCAACAATCGAACAACACCCGTCTCGTCTTTCCTCTTCATATCCCTCCTTTTCTTCGTATACGGTTCCCCTCATACATTCACCAATGAATCAATCCATCAACCCAATCTTTGCTATTTTACTTTTCTGTACAATAAAAGTTCCGCCCATCTCGACTTTGTGCCGCTAGAAGATGTACGCGCTGCGCGCAATTTATCTTATTCTTTCAAAATAAACGAATATAAATGACACGTGGAATTAGATCTAAGCAACACGTAATATTCTAAAATTTACTTAATTTATTATCGCTATTACAAAGTTTGAACAATTATTAGAGAATCCAAAAAATTAAAGAATCCAATTTAAAGTTTAGAATTTTTGCATCTTTCTTTAAACTTTTTAAATAGGAAAAACATTTAAGTTCTTCAATCTTTGAATATAACAGAAAATCAGAAAATTGTTGATCATATTAATTCATTTAAAATTTCTTTATCGAAAAAGAAAGAGAGCCTAACATGAACGTGTTGCTTATCAATCACTATTCCAATACAGAAAATCTAATAACTGCTAATTATTATCCGGCATAAAGGATCGATGAATAATACACGTGATTATTGACTAATAATTTATACGACTGAACAACGTGAATTTGCCAAGCTTTACGATAATTCTAGCGCCACAGAGAATTTTAGACAAAAAACCTCCGCTATCAAGGTCATCGAACGATAAAAAAAAAAAACGATGGGTTTGGACTCTTTAGATAAGTCGCGTAAGATAAAAACGCGGCACGAACCGGTCCGTAAATAAACTGGCCGATCAAAAAAGATGATCATCTGCTAGGGTAACCGCCGATCTCCGAGGAAGCGAATCGCACTTTCCGTATAAGTGGGGAAGTTCTCGGCAGTGACCATAATCGATTCACGTACGCGTCATTAATTAGCCGGCTTAAGTATCCGTCAGCGCGCGTCGATAAGGAAACGACCACCCATCCTTTTCATTCATGATCCCCTCCCTCTTCCATCTCACGGACGAGAAGCCCCCCTGTTCCCCTCCCCTCCCCATTCCTGTTCGCTCTTCATCATCGTCGTCGTAAATAATCGCGCCTCGCATTATTACACGTCGAGATAACGCTCCCGCTTTGTGGACGTAATCACGTGGTGGTGCATTTGAACATCGATTTTCCGAGGCCGCGATATAGCCATCTTCCTCCCACGCGGACTCTCCTCCCTTCCCTCTCCTGCTATCTCTTCTCCCTCCCCCGCCTTCTCCCTATAGTTCTATCGCCATCCAGCTATCTATCTAAATCTTCCGAATTGAAGGAATCAAAGTAGGCTACTGTTTTCTAGCTTCTAATCATCGTAAGAGTTAAATCTGGAACTGGTTATAATCTGAGGTATTGTTTCGATGTGAGATTCATAAAACTTTATATATATTAATATCAATCAATATTATTATTTTCCTATAAAAGCAGTATCTCTTTGGATAAAAATAAATTATCAATATCTTGGTTGTTGTGTAATTATTTTATGTTGATTGTATATTTGGCATTGCGTCTATCAACAAGATAAATGAATCAAGATAAATTACATTTAATTCCAATATCATTGAATACTGTTTCAAGCATCAGATCATATTAAAAAATTTAACCGGATATTTATATATAGTCAAATATTATATAAATCATAAATATGTTTATGTATAGCCATTAAAAAAAAAAAACAAGTGTCAAAATTCTAATATTGCAACTTTCCTTGTAAAATTTAAACACGCAGATAAAGACTTTTCAATACCATACAATTTTCATTCGAATTATTTCATGGATATATTCATGTTTCAGAATACATTTAAATTTAATATCGATTCGGAAAACAAATATGTCGAATTTTATTCAAAAGTTTTATTAAATAATGCAACTGACATTACGTCATGACTCTTAAAAGCTACATGGATTATATCAACAATTTTGACTACTTTCTTATCAATATAATCAGTTCCAGAACTAATCTTTAATTTAATATAAAATTGAAACACTACATCTGAATATTGCTCTTGATCTTAAACGTGTCAAATATTAAAATATAACTTAAAGAAGTTTGAATGTCTGCACTCAATAAATACCGTGAAATAGTAAACAATTCGGATTTTCTTCTCCGGAAATTATCTTATTGCGTGTTGCTGTTGTCCATTGGACTGTTTTTCACATAACGAGAAATCATGAGTTTTCAATTTTATATAGATAGACATTTCGTCATTTATTTTGTTTTTAATAGTGCTGAGAAAATGCAATAACTTCTATTTATGTGCAATTTGAATAACTTTTCACACATTCAATATACAGAAATATATTTGCAAGAAGAAAATTATAAATATATATATATATATATATATATTTATAATTTTCTTCTTGCAAATATATTTCTGTATATTGAATGTGTGAAAAGTTATTCAAATTGCACATAAATAGAAGTTATTGCATTTTCTCAGCACTATTAAAAACAAAATAAATGACGAAATGTCTATCTATATAAAATTGAAAACTCATGATTTCTCGTTATGTGAAAAACAGTCCAATGGACAACAGCAACACGCAATAAGATAATTTCCGGAGAAGAAAATCCGAATTGTTTACTATTTCACGTCAGCAGGTAGAATAAAATTATTATTCAATCAAGTTGTCAATCAAAAATATAACGCCACCGAATAAACATTAAATCAAATACAGAGCGAACACTGATCGATACCTCGGGCTAATAATAGTAACATGATTTAATCAATTCATTAGTCATGAACAAAACTAGGCAAAATTATCACGTCTCAAACTTTTAAGATATCATAGGATGAATCACAATATAATCTAAGCAATACCAGTCAACTTGTTATTCCACAAACGTTATAATCAAAAGTGTGATCTTATCAGTTTGTTAATCACAATTAAAATTGAATGAAACTATCACGTTGTCTCAAATATAAAGATATCAGAGAATGTTAAACCGGATACGAACAATCTCTCTCTAACGAATAGAATTGATTCGATACTTTACTATCTCTCTCTCGACAGAAAAATAATGTAATTGATCAACCACAATTGAATCTAACAATAGGCGAAACCACGCATTTTCAAATATATATCAAATTGACATTAAATTGATCTAGTTATTAATTAAAATGACAATTTTTTAAAGATCAACTCAAGATCACTGCACATTGCTGAGGAGAGAAGTGGAGCATCTGTCGCGCCTCGTTTCGGGACAATCACGTGACAGAAACACGCGTGATTTCGTCGAAAGAGTGGATCCACCACGTGGTCATTACAAGACAGGGTGGTGTCTTCACGTGTGGTGTATTCCAGAATTTCGCGTTCTTTCGAGGCTGCAAAGTATGCCGGCTGGCGGCAGATTCAAAGGTGACGTCATCTCCTCTACCTCTCTCCTCCTTCTTTCCCATTCATCTGACCCTCTTCCCCACCCCCACAACCGCCCCCCATCGGTATCGCGGGAGAGGGGCAACGCCAAACATTGAAAGAAGGCGCCACCGGTCCGAGGAGAGGTACGCATATTCATGCGCCCGGCAAACATAAACACCATGCGTGATCCACGGCGGCATCCGCGTCGTCGTCGACGGTGACCGGTGAGGTCGAAACCATGGCAAGTAGTATACCGATCCGTTTTAGGAAGCGACCGACGACGTCAACCGGCACTAACACGAAACAGGATAACAGAAAACACAAGCTTTCCCCGAGAATGAACGAACGAACGAACGACGCGCGGCATCATATCAACGCACTGAGAACGAATGTGCTCCCATTTTCCCCCCTCTCGCCCATCCTCTCTTTCTCCTTTCACACTCTCCCACGCATTCACGCATACATACATCTTCTCTCGCACCCGCTCTTTCTCTCTCATTCTCTCACACACTCTCTCTCCCTCCCTCCCACCCTCTCCTATCCGTTCTCTCTCGTGTGGTCGATCGTTGATGGTCGATGTAGTGAAACGTTTCGGGAGTTGCCTGGGAGTTTTAAACGGAGGCCGCGCCGTTCACGTGGTGGACGGTGACAACCTCCCCGCATTCTCTCTTGTGTTTTCCCTCTTTCTCCGTACCCTGGATCGTTCGGCACCTCGGCGGGTGAGCCACTCGCTACGATCTCCTGATTCTGGGACTCCATAACGACGCGCGGCGCACGATTACTCGCTGTCGTCGTCGTAGTCGCGAGACTCTCGCGTGCCCGGTGTGGAAGCGACGGCGCTCGTCGAGAGTTTGCTCGCGTATCCGTCCGGAGCGGTGCTGTCTGTTGTTGTCGTGCTTAGTTGCTGTTGATGTTGTTACGTGCGATCGGGAACGGTGTCCTCGTCGCCGACGGCAGCGGCGAGCGTCGTCGCGCTTGATTGCTCGTGACCGTGCGTGAAGGGGTTGTTGCTGTCACGGCGCGCACAAGACTTCCTTGCTCGAAACTTGCTCTCGGCGCCGGTGATGAGCTCCCGCTGCGCGTTTCGTAACTCTTCCTCCCGCGATCTACGGTCTCTTGCCTTCTATCGCTCTATTTATCTTTCGTTCGTTCACTCCGCGGATCACGGAGAGAGTGGTTGATAATCGCGCGCGGCACTACAATGACAGCGCGATTATTGACGGCGAAAAGGAGATGTTGCGAACGGATTTTTGCGGGTCAGAGAATGCCCCGCGCTCGTCGCGCCGAATAACGACGATGACAACGAGACGGCGGTGAAAGATGACGACGGCGACGACAACGACGAGGATGACGAGTACGAGGATGATGACGACGACGACTAATAGAGTGTACACGAGGGAAAAAGGCTGTCGACCTCTCGCTCGCTCTCTTGATTCCGATTATTACTCTTCTCTTGTCTCTTCGCCGATTGCTTTCTCCTTCTCTCTCTTTCTCTCTCTCTCTCTCGCTCTCTCTCTCTTTCTCCGCACTCTCCTCACACTACCGACTACTAAAAACTAAGGAGAAGGTGAGAGGTTACGTGGCTGCGCGGTACGGCGACTACTGATGACGGGCGGCGGCCGGTACTCGGACGTGCGACGCGCTCTGCGAGAGGTTCGACGCGACACTGCGCTCTCGGCGCGGGGCGGGGGGAAGGGGCGTCGCGGGGAGAGGGGCATGCGGCGGCGGCGGTGGCGGCAGTGGCAGCATCATTTGCATCGATGACACCTACGTGAGTATTCCGATCATTGGCATGCTAAGACCAAGACTGCACCCTAGCATGATGATATTCGATAAGATGTCGATTACATTATTCAACGTGATGTTTATTGTCTTCTGTAGAAAACTCAGAGGAATGTTTTGGAAATTGTCTTTGCTTACAATTTATTTATTCACACCTTCGGTTATTCGTTTTATTAATGTGTGCTTTTACCTTTAAATGCATGTAAATGCATTTTTACTGATCTAACAAAATATTATCAAAATTTATCAATTATGGATTAATCGCTGCATTAGTCTCTAATGATGATCCCATTCACCTAGAATTAAAATTGTTTTCTTAAAAGTTTCGACTATAAATATATAGTAGTCAAAATCTATTATACAGAGAAAATGCGATCAATTAAGAAAAAAAAATTAAGAGTAAATGAGTTTCATTTTTACATCTAATGTTATATAATAAAATATATTTTTCGCGAAAAAACAAAGAGTTTTACGAATAAAATTAATTAGGTCGAACCTCAAAGAAATTGATCTAAAATATATAAACATGGACATTTAAAATGATCTCGAGATAACTCTGATGCGTCTCTGAAAACACACCATTACTTTGAACCTGCCGTCTGTCCCGGATGCGGTCCGCGCAGCTGCACCGGCTGCCGTCGATGCAGCGACGCCGGGCGATTAATTAAACGCTGGCACGGCGCACAGCCGCTCATTAGCGGGCGTCGATTGGCTGCTGGCCGATCACGTGACATCCACGTTGGTGGTACGGAGTGGACGCGACTGGGGGTCTGACCGGAGAAGGGGGTTGCTGGTCGGCCGGGGGCGAAGAAGGACAGACAAGCAGCGGCGGCGGCGGCGGCGGCGGCGGCGGCGGTGGTGGCGGCGGCAGCAGCAGCAGCAGCAGCAGCAGCGACAGCGGTGGTGGTGATGGTTGGCGGTCGTGGCGGCGGGGAACAGAGAGGATATTGCGCTTGCGCCATCCCCACATCACGTGCTAGTCGCGAAACGGAGAAGGGAAACGCCAAGGACCGCGTACCCGCCTCCGATCGCGGCCTGCTCGCCTGCTCGCCCGCTCGCTCCCGGTAACGCTAACATTAACATTCGCGCTAGCGCGAACACGAGCGAGTGAGAAAAACTAGCGTGATGCCCCTCACGCGAGAAAGACCGACCACCCGCGCTCCTTCACTACTTGCTCCACTTCCTCGACTCCGCGTGACCCGCGACCGAAAGCTCAACCCTCGGGGTTGCGAGTAACGAATGGCTATTGTGGAAAATTTACTTATTTTTTTAATTTTATTTTTTTCATACTTTCGTCTTTTCTAAACAAATCTTTTTTTTTTCGTATTGTATGTAGGAAGGTATTTAAAATATGCATACGGATATGGATATGCAATCAAGAATTAGAGAAAGAAATAATAATAAAAAAATATTATGTTAGTATGCGACACAATAGAAATTTATAATTATTTGTGGTACTCTCATAAAATGATAAATCATGATGATTTATCATCATTAAAGAATAGTCAAAGAATTGTGTCATATGAAGCATGTAGAGTTGTTCGAACACTAGAATCATATTATCCAAATACTATCATATGCATTGAACGACTAATAATTAAAATTTAAAATTTTATTAGAGATGCATTTTTTCTTATATCCAATTATCTTTAAAATTTATGCAAATATTGCTCGTTTTAATTCTGTCATCCCCTAAGTATTTCTCATCAAATATAACAAATGTTTCATATTGTATTCCCTTTCGATTACATATACTGATTTATGCAGACTTCCATACATGCATCATGTTTTATCGTTCAACCCAATTACGCGAAAAAAAAAACAAGCGGAAGTGACTGTCGACCTACTGCCAGTATGGAAAGCAAGGGGTTAATAGTTGCCCGTTTCCCTCGTTCGTGCACATTTCACTCCCCGTCGACTATTAATTTGCCTTTCAATGCAGTGCCGGTGATTATCGATTTGATCGGTCGAAACCTCCGGCAGAATTTTTGCTTGCTTCTAAAGTTTATCGGACCGCGCGTTTCCACTAGTTTTAATAGAACCGTCGAATGAGCGGTTCGTTTGTGCAACAAATCATTCCCAGTCGTTTGCCTTTCGATTTGACGTCGACCTAATCGAATTTTCTACGCGATCGTATGATTTACCCAACGCTTGTGATAACGCGATTTCTCGTGATAATTTGCAATCGGCAGTCTTTTGGCAAAATACTGAACAGTGGCTTAATTAAGTCGATACTATATATTGAACGTAAAAACGTTTTAGCGGATTAAATATCAGAAATATAAATTGTTAATGGAACTTTATCTCCAATTAATTTTAAACAGCTACTTCGACAAAAACTTAAAATGTTAATTGTAAGAGATCTTCAACGACATGCCGAATTTTGAGATGTATATAATTACTTTACTAGGTATATTTAAAATCTGCATACCATACCTGGGATTTTTTTAGAAATACTTGTACACTGCATATATAAATGCTTCATTTCATTCACGAAAAAGGACATAATCCTACTCTTGTTGCATTTAAAACAATAAGAAAAATTTAATTAAAAAAAGAGTATATAAATCACAGATTAAATGGTAAATTTAATACAATGTACGCGAAGATTTATGTATAAATGTTTTAAATGTGTTAATAAATGTGTCACGTCAAATATCACGTAGCAATTGTCATGTTTACAGGACTAATTAAATTAACACAACTGCTATAAACGATTTTTACGACTTATATATATATATATATCTATTATTATATTCAATAGCTCGTGAGAGGATGATATATGCATCGCGATATGTCGAAGTGATAATTTAACACGATATTGACACGTGTCACAATATATATTTCGCGTGTACTTTTATTACATTTATTACGCTTCTTAGAATCTTATATTTAATGTCCAATGATCAATTAATTATATGATTATTCATACGATTTTTCATGACATAAATTCAATATAACGATATGTGTATTGTCGATGGTCAATTTATCGACCAAAACTTCATATCAGATGCTATTTGAATGGACCAACCAAATACCAATCAAAATTAATTAATTTAAAGAACAGAAATAATTTATAAAAATCCAAATAAATGATTCAAAATAATGTATCTAAAATTTAAAAATTTATAATTGAATTTATATCCGTATATATACACATACATTATGATGAATGGTCTATAGAATGTGTCATCAATATTAAAGTAATCGTCCAGTTATCAAACATATTGATTCGATTTTTTTTTTTTTTTTTGTAATCTCTCATTGCAATCTCGAGGATTATAACTGTTGGAACGTTTGGCGTGGAAAATAGACTATATGTGCACACGTGTTCTTTTAAGATAGCAGGTTGTCAGTTGCGTTACACTATTCTAGCGCAATATTTCTTCCCACAATCTCATCCGCGGAACAATAACTGATGATCGCATGAGATCCTCACACGCACGAAGAAACGTTTTTTTTTTTCTCCTTACACTTCTCTATCAAAAAGATTGGACAAGAATAGGAATCAAAATGAGCGAAATATAATCGGATAGCATTGCCTCGATAACAATCTTCTTAATTGCAAGTGGAATTGCGTATTACAAAAGGACTTATTTTAACATTTCGTGCATTATTATAAATATGTTTAAGAATTAAAGGATTTCGTATAACAATGAATTCTAAATCCATTTTTCTAAAAATGTGAAAATCGTAAACTTAAAAAATCTATGTTTTAGCCGATATATTCCAAAATATCATCCGCTATTGATATAACAAAACAGATGCAATTAATTGTTACATTAAAATTTGATAAAAAAAATATATTTTTTTCTATAATATGTTCGCCACTCTCTATGTATTCTCTTTATATAGGAATGTTAACATATTTTTAAGCGATATTAAAGAGATTAGATTTATAAAAACAGATTAATAAATTTTTATAATTTTCATAATTTCATGATATATTCCAGTTTTTTAAAATCAATAAGAATTTTATCAAATATACATCTAAAATCCGCGATTTTTTGTGAATAGCGGAGCACGCAATTCGCAAGAAATCGGTATTCACAATAAGTAGCTTCGAAGAAAAGACTTCCCAGACTGAAACTGTCGCAGTCGTGACCTGATGATATATCCCATGAGATCGTCGAGAACTTGCCAATCACTATTCGGGGATTTACGTCCCAGAAGTGACCCCTCCCGGTAGCTCATACAGAATCGTCCTAAGCCATGACATCGCCCAACTGTACTGCATCCTTCAACCAAAGGTTCGTGATCGCGCTCACCACGGCGGATTTGCATAATACGAGAGTGAGAGAGAGTAAAAGAAAAAGAGAAAAGAGAATAAATTCAATAGTATATACATGTCACATGGCGCGTTTGTGAGATTCAAATATAGATTCACAAATAAGAATAAAACTAAAAAATAATTTTATACAAAATCAATCTAGAATTTGCAAATTTAAATTTTCTTTTATCTGCAAAATTTTAAGATAAAAATGTATAAAATTGTAAAAAAAAAAAAAAAATATGTATATTACACTTTTTATTATCCCTTCATTATACAGCTTATTTTAAACTTTGCAATAAATTTCAAAATAAATTTAAATTTTTATTTTGATTTGCCTTTCGGCAAAAATTTAAAGCGAGTCATAAAATTATTTTTAACGTTGAAAATTGAAGAACTTTAGAAAATTAAATTTCAGGGATATCCTCATCATCGTCTTAGACGCGTTATCTGTTCGAGATAAAATCATATTTCTCCAGTGCTGACAAGAGCTTTATGTCGCCCCGAGCCAAAAAACGATTTTGAGATATTCACGTGTTCGTGAGTACGAAATAAAGGATGCTATGAAGATGATAGTGCCGTAAGCGGACCGTAAGAACGT